GAAGCGAAGTTCTGATCTTGTGAAATTGACACATCTCATTACTGTTCACATTAACTTTGATCATTTGGTTAAGGCAATTTCTGCCAGGTTTTCCTAGTGTTGTATCATTTTTCACTTTGTCATTTATAAATATCTTGCAGGGAGGTACTTTGAGTGTATATAAATATCCTGTTTCTCAGCATACACTTGCCCACCTATCCATTGATGATTCTTGCCTACAGCAGTTATTACTCTGATGTTTGTCAAATGGATGGTTTTCTATTTTTATCATTCTTAAGTAGTAGAGGTTCTTAACCTGAGGTCCTCGCTGTGTCAATATACCTGTATGCATTTTACTTTGCAGAAGAAGTGCAGAATTGGTCACATTTTCAAGAGATCATTAGAGAGTATTATCTGTTTTCTATCCATCACTACTTTCTAAGCGTTGTGGTCATAGCATCCCCATTAGGATAGATTAAAGGTACATGTAGCTTTGTGTATTTGCCTTCTGTTTCTGATCTCTTTGCACAGTTTATTCTGTATTCCTCTGAAAAGATTCATTGCATAGAAGACCAACGTATACCTGAGGCGAATAAAAGCAGAGCTGCAGTGTTTGTTGTTGTCCTGTATTGCCGAGACTGTTTTTTTCCTGGCCTACAGTCTGTGAATCACTACATTTTGCTCTATATATTCCTAGTTTGATCTCAGAGAACCTGTATTTTCATATCTATGGAGTTTTAAAAATAAATACAATATTTGGTCCATCTTGTAAAAAAAGACTGATTCAAGTTTTAGTTTTTTGAAACTAATACTACCACAGATTGTAATAACTTAGTTTCTTTTTTATTCTGAGCTATGCTTTTTTGAAGTAAATATATTCTAAAACAAAAGCTTAATTAAGACTTTACCTGAAACATGAATTTTTGTAAGATGTTGTTTGTATTTTGACTGCTGATGTCTAGAAACTATTTTTATGGCTTTGTCCTTTATATTGCTAGCAAAAATGAGATTCTTATTTTTTTGTTCTTTAGAAGATACTCAGTTTCTTTCACCCATGCATTAAAAAAAAAAAAAAAAACTACTAAAAAAAAAAAAAAAAAAAAGAATGGCCAGTTTGGCAGAAGAAAATTATGCAGTAATGATAGAGTTGGAGGATCGTTCATGAACTGATCTTATTCTTATAATAGATGATTATCTCAGTCTAATATGGCTTTTATAAGAGTTTATTCTTTTACAGTAGTATAGAGACACTTGAAATAAACTAAACTCTACTATATAGTGTAAAATTCAATGGTTTATTGAAAGAAGACAATATGTAAGCTTCATTGAGCAATACCTGTTTTCTTTTCTCCACTTGGAAAATCAGTACTTTGCTATTCCAGACATTTCTTTGGATATTAAGTCTTTGAAAATAGAGATACTTTTTTTCTCCTTCAAACATTCAGATCTTTTTTGGACTAATGCTATGGGGAAAATTAAATTTAAATCAAAGGGATCAATATAAGTAAAGACACAGACATTTTCCAGTATGGTATATACACATGTAGGGGAAGGTCACAACCAGTTTATTGCCACAAAAATACAACACATGAGGAAAACAAATGTCAGGAGCTAGTGTCATAGAGATTGGTAGATGCCATATTGTGATAGGCTTATATGCCAAATTAGGGAGCTTGGATTACTGCTGACTCTTAGAGGTAAGGAGGGCCTGAACTATGGGAGTGGTAGAAAGGGCTGAATTCAAGAAATATTAAGGAGATGAAATCATGTAGGCATAGTGGTAAATCAAGTGTAGGAAGTGAGATAGGAGTCAAGGGACTTGGCATAGGTGAATGGTAATCCCCCCTCAAATAGAAAGTGTAAGAAGAAAAGCAGATTTTGGGAAAATAAGATATGTTCAATGTTGCACACTGAGGAGTCTGAGGTGTTTATGGGGTATAGTCGGAGACATCCATGTGATGTCTTGGGGGACCTTGAGATTGGGGGGTCATTAGTGTAATGGTGGTGGATGGAACTGAATGATTAAGATTACTCAGGGAGGATTGTAGAGTAAGAAGAGCTGTAGGCTAAGGACATAAGGATTCTGGGAATCATGTACGTTTAATGGGCAAGCAAAAAGAAAAACAGTTTTTCTAAGAGAAGGCAGTATCATAGAGGCCAATGAAAAAGACTTTTCTTTTTTAATTTTAAAGATGTGGAGTACAATTCAGGGTTAGGTATACGAATGTTCATTTTGCAGGTACCCTTTTTGATGAGGCATACCCCCACCTCCCCTGGCAGTTTCCCACTACTGCCAATCCCACCCCACCCTCCCTTGGCAGTTTCCCACTACTGCCAAACCCTTTCTTATAGTATTATGATAATTGTTCAAGAAAATATATGATACTCTGTTCTTCATTTCTGTGATAGATCTCTTAGTATTGTAGACTCTAAGTCCATCCAAGTTGCTGCAAAGTTCATAATTTTGTTCTTCTTTATGGCTTAATAATATTCCATTGTGTATATGTACCACATTTTTTTTTTAATCCAGTCCTCTTTCGATGGGCAGCACTGTGGGTTCCATGTTTTTGCTATTGTAAATAATCCTGCAATAAACATGTGTGTGCAGGTATCTTTCATAGAGTGATTTGAGTTCTTCTGGATATATTTCAAGTAGGGGGATTGCAGGGTCATATGAAAGGTCAATTTTTAGGTCTTTTAAGAATCGCCACACTGTTTTCCACAGAGGTTGTACTAGTTTACACTCCCACCAACAGTGTATCAGTGTTCCCTTTTCCCCACATCCTCTCCAGCATCTGTTGTTTTTTGAGTTATTGATGATGGCCATCCTGACTGGAGTTAGGTGGTATCACAGTGCAGTTTTAATTTGCATTTCTTTGATGACTAGTGAGGCTGAGCACTTTTTCATGTGTCTGTTGGTTGCTCATATGTCTTCTTTTGAGAAATGCCTATTCATATCATTTGCCCACTTTGTAATGGGGCTTCCCCCCCCCCCCGCTTTTTGTCACATTTGAGTTCCTTGTTAGACCTCTAGATGTTAGACCTCTGTCAGACATACAGTTGGCAAATATTTTTTCCCAGTTTGTGGGCTGTCTCCCTGCTCTCTTGATGGTTTCTTTGGCTTTGCAGATGCTTGTCAGTTTGATGAGGTCCCACTTGTCTCTCTTATCTCTTATGGTGTGGGCACTTGGGGTTTTGATCAGGAATTGACTGTCAGTTCCAATTTCCATAAGGGTGTCTCCTGCATTTTCTATGTTCTTATAGTTTGAGGTTTTACATTTAGGTCTTTGATCCATTTAGAGTTGATTTTTGTGTATGGGGATAGGTAGAGGTCCTGTTTCAATCTTCTGCATGTGATCAGCCAGTTATCCCAGCACCATTTACTGAATAGGTTCTCCTCTCCCCAGTGTTTGGATGGAGACTTTGTCGAAGATGAGTTGGTTGAGAAATTGGGGTTTTACTTCTGGAATCTCTATCCTGTTCTGTTGGTCTATATACCTGTTTTTGTACCAATACCAGACTTTTGATTATTGTAGCTTTATAATAAAGTTTAAAGTCTGAGAGTGTGATACCTCCTGCTTTTGTGTGTGTGTGTGTGTGTGTGTGTGTGTGTGTGTGTGTGTGTGTGTGTTTTGTTTTGGCTATTTGTGGTTGTTTATGTTTCCATATTAAGTCCTGTATTGTTGTTTCCAGGTCTGAGAAGAATGCTGCGGGTAATTTGTTAAATCTGTGTTAAATCTGTAGATTACCTTGGGTAGTAGGATGGACATCTTAACAATGTTGATTCTTCCAATCCTTGAGCATGGAATATATTTCCATTTGTTTGTGTCATCTTGTCTTTGAGCAGTGTTTTGTAGTTTTCGGTGTAAAGGTCTTTCATGTCTCTTGTTAGGAAGATGCCAAGGTATTTAATTTAATTTTATTTTTTTTATGGTTATTGTGAATGGGATTGTGCTTTTTATTTTGGTTTCTGTTTATTTTTGGTGTATAGGAATGCAACTGTCTTTTGCACATTTATTTAATACCCTGAAACTTTGCCAAAGTCCTTTATCAGTGCAAGCAGGTTTTTGACAGGTTCTCTTGGGTTTTCGAGGTATAGAATCATGTTATCTGCAAGGAGGGATAACTTGGCTTCCTCTTTTTCTATTTGGAGAGGAAGACTTTTAAAGAAGTGAGTGAGAATATAAATTTAGCACCATTAGTCCTCAGTCTGTGGTTGAATGCACCAGAGAAACTGACTGAGTTTCCTTTTTTATCAGAATTTCCAAAATTTTGACCAAATTGCAGTTTTTTTTCTGTTCTTCAGGACGTATAATTAAAGGAGAATGTTTTTTCACATCTTTAATCATTTGTTCTATTGTAATTTTTCTGTCTCACTATTTGGGGATTTACTTTATTTTCCATTGTTCTTCATTCCTAATTTTCTTAAAATTTATTGGAAGACTTATAAGTACTGCCTGAGTCAGACTGCCATAGGCCAATGCAAACTTGATTCTTTTTCTTTGTTACTAAGTGTGTAATGTCAACACTGAGGATCACACTAAACCCAAATTCATTTTAATGATAACTCATGTTTACAAACTTTACAGTCTCCATATCTTCTCACTTAATTTATTTGGTTCTTACAAGAAGCTTATGAGACAGGTAGGGCAGAGTGTTATCTTTATTTTTCTTTTCCAGTTGTGGGATCTGTACCCTTGTTTAATTATGTTACCTGTTCATAGACAGCTTTTCATTTTCTGTTTCATTGGATATATAAACTAAAATGTTAAAGCTGAAGGGAACCTTAGAAGTCATCTTTTCCAATGTCTTTATTTTACAAATGAGTAAACAGGCCCAAAGAGGTAAAATCGCTTTCCTAAGATCATATAGACAAAAAAAAAGCAAAATAAGATCTGGAACCCAGTTTTCTTAATTCCTGGTCTCCAAGAGCCACAAATTTAATTTGCATTATACGTAAAGTTAGGCCAAGACTTGCAGCTTCAATATTCTCATTTTATTTTTATGTTTCTTGGAAATAGTGTGCAGTTCGTGCAGCCACAGAAGGCAGAACTCTCATTTTGGAAGGCTTGGAAAAGGCGGAGAGGAATGTTTTACCTGTTTTGAACAACTTGCTGGAAAACAGGGAGATGCAGCTTGAAGATGGACGCTTTCTGATGTCTGCCGAGCGTTATGACAAACTTCTCCAAGTAAGAGGAGAAAAATCCACTGCTTTCTCTTTGTTGTCAAGCTATGGGTAGTGCCATTTTGTTGTATGAGACAGTCTATTGGAATCAGGACAGATGTTCAGATGGTCCTTAGCGTTGGTAAATTGCTAAAGTAAAATCTTGACTTTGCAGTTTTATAAGACTTTTCTGTTTGCATTCCATGTCAGAAGACTTCCCAGATTTCTACCATCTTTTTTTTTTATTCAGTCTAATAACTATTCTTTTTCTCGTTTTTTTTTCTTTGTTCCTTTTTCCCTCCTTTCCCACCTTCTTTTTTTCCTTCCCTTCTTCTCTCAACAACTATTTACTAAAAGCTCAATGACTTCCAAACAGTGCTGGGCATCAGAGATACAAAGCTGAATTAAGTCTGGTTTTTAGCCTCAAGGAAACTCGCAGTCTAGTAGATATTAACAGAAATGAATAAAATATATGAAGGACACCTTGATGATTTAATCCACCAGCATCTCATACCTCGGTTGCTATAAGAACTTCCTAATTACACTCCCTGCCTCTATCCTTGCTCCCTGACCCTGTTCTCAACACAGTAGTCAGTGGTTGCTTTAAGACATGCCTCAGATTGGTTCACTGCCATACTCTAACCCCCACAGCTTCCTGTTCTTCTCAGGGTAAACTCCAAAGTCTCTAAAGTGGAATGCAGCACCTCATAGGATTTGGGCCCTTAGTACCTCAGGCCTTATTTCCTTCTATCATCTTCCTTTTTTACTCCACTCCAGCTACTCATATTCTCTTTATTGTTCCTTAAACATGTGAGGTAGGTATTCTTCTACCTTGTAGCCTTTGCATAGGCACCGCCCTCTTCCTGGGATGGTTTTTTCCTGGATATATACTTGGCTCACTCCTGTACCTTTTTCTAGTCTTTGCTCAAATGTTACATTATCAATGAAGCCTACCTTAACCATTTAAGATTGCTGTCTGTCCTTGGCCTCTGTACTCCCTTACCCTGCTCTATTTTTTTCCCATATTGTCTGTTAACATCCTACATTACTTACTTAGTATGTTTTCAGCTCATTGTCTGCTTCCTCTACCAGAATATAAGTTTCACAGGGAAGAGATTTTTTGTCACTGATGTTATCTCAAGTTTCTAGAACAATACCTGGCACACCAAAGGTGCTCAATGACTATTTGTTGAATGAAGAAGTGCAGTGCAACAAACTATACCACACTGGAGTTCTCTGTTGCTGACCTGTCTGCTGTAACTGATTGCCCTGCCTCTGCTCTCTAGGACCTAGAGTCTCTTTCACATTTGTCCTATAGAGATACAAATGTTGACTGCAAATTGTCATGAGAAAGAATCTGTGTCTTATACTTACTAGTCTTGTTCCAGGGTACTAATACAAGCCTGGACACACTAGGCCCTAAATAATGGATGTGGACTCCAGTGATGCTGATTAAACTGATGCTCTATGGCTGATAGGGCCAGAAGCAATTTGTTTCATTACTGCTCATGGGAGTTTCAGATAGTGTTTGTATTGTGCAGTATAGTCAATTTTTTGAGGGGGATTTATCCACAGATCATCTCATTTTAATATTAATTAGAAGTAGATAATTAAGTATTTAATCAATCTGAAAAAGTTAAATTCATTTATTCATATGGTTTTAGGTAATTTACTGAAATGAAAGCTATTTTTACTCTTTATTTTTTGAAGTACGTGGATATTATACAGAACATTTTCTCTATAGATACTTTCTAATTACAAAATAACTATTTGCCCCTAAAGACATATTAGTATTTACCATTTTTAGTAAATGATTTGGTAAAAAATACTCAGAATGTGGAATCATTTTTTTTAAAGTGCAGATGTGGCCGAGTGCATTGGCTCATAGCTCCCAGCACTTCTGAAGTGAGAGGACTGTCTGAGTTCACAGGTTCGAGACCAGCCTGGGCATCTTGGTGAGACCTTATCTCCACAATAAATCAAGAAAAATTAGCTGAGCATGGTGGCGCATATCTGTAGTTCCAACTATCCAGGATCGCCTGAGCCCAGCATGTCAAGGCTGTGGTGGATGTGAGCATGCCACTGCCCTCCCGCCTGGGTGACAGAGTGAGACTCCAACTCAAAAAAAAATAAAATAAAATAAAAATAAAGTATAGATGTTACTTCACAATACAAAGTTTGATACAGTCTTTATCCTTATAGTAGAATTCTGTACAGAGTAATTGAATTACTTTGGATAGGAATTAAGGATTTGGAGATCAAAAGAGTTTTAGTACACAAGGAATGCTTATTATTAAGTGAGAAGGATTTATTTCATTTTTTCCCAAAGTAAATATCAATTACATGCATAATTTTTATCAGTAAATATTATTTCTGTATCTATAGGATCTGTTTCATGAGACCCTCACAGAATATAGGCAAGATCCTTTCATAAAACTCTACCATCTTAAGACAGTTTCTATGGAAAAAAGATTCTAACACTATCATTTAATTCCCACTTAATTCTAGCTAGATTCAATATACTGAATTTTAATATCTCAAAAAAATGGTTTCATTGAGGTGATTAGAGTAGAATTTTATTACTGTGGAACTAGATATAGTCAGTTTATATGAACTTTATATTCTGATTATCATTTTCAGGTAAATGGAAATATTTAACTCTCTGAACATCGTACTCTTGATTTCTCAGACAGGGCTAGATTCAGACTCTCATTTTCTAGTGTATGTGACATGGGGCCATACTGTCAGTTTATTATTAAACATTTGTGATTTTGGTTCACACTAAAATATGATTGAAGTAATAGTTTATTATTTTTAAATTAAGTCATGCAGTCAGTAGACATTTGCCCTATTATGTGTTAGAAGAAATATATCCTCTCAAGACTGAATCTAGCCTGAGACAGTCACATATGAAAGTAAATGCATTAATGTGTAATGATAGAAGCTTGCATAGGGTACAGTGAAGGGGTACAAAAGTGGTAAAGAGAAGGAGGAGATCAGAAAAGGACTCATTTTTAAGAAGATGTCATTTGTGCTGAGCTTTCAATGATACTTTTGTTTGTGCTATGTAAACTGAAAGGGTATTCCAAGCAGTTGGAACAGGGTTGGTGAAGTAGCATCATGTGCTTGGAGAGCTGCAGTTGTGAGATGAGTTGGAGCATAGGGTCATGGAAGGCAGGTTGACAGGACAGGTGTGTACTGGTTGCTGAGACTGGGAGAATCAGACAGGACTCCTGCTAGGAAAGGCCTTAAGTGCCATGTTAAGAGTTTCTACACTGTCATATGAGCTGTGGCCTTTGAAGAGCTGCTGAAGGCAGCGGGCCCTTCTCTCAGAATATACCAATGCTCATTCATTCATGCAACTTTGTAAGCACCGTGGATCCTACTGCCGAAAACTGTGAAGAGTTGTTGATAGTCAGGCAGAGAAGGAAGGAAACAACATTCTCACACTTAGTTTTCCCAGTAGTCATAATAATACAGGTGATGTTATTCTACTTTCTTTTTGGGGGGGGCGGGGGCGTCTTAGTCTCACTCCCTCACCGAGGCAGGAAGGCAGTAGCACTCTCACAGCTACCCCATCGTTGACCTGCAGGGCTCAGGCAATCATTCCACCTCAGCCTTCCACATAGCTGGAACTACAGGCACGTGCTACCACACCTGGCTAATTTTTTTATTTATTGCACAGGTGAGGTCTTCCCAGGTTGTCCAGGCTGGTCTCCAACCCGTGGGCTCAGACAATCCTCCCACCTCGGCCTCCCAAAGTGCTGGGATTACAGGCTTGAGTCACCACGCCCAGCCTCTTTCCACTTTCTAGATGAGAATGCTGAGGCTCCAAAGGTGTAGCAACTAACTAAATGCACACTCTAACTAAATGTTGAGCAGCTGAGCCAGGATTTGTGACTCCAAAATCTGTACTGTGTCCATTATCTTGACTCTACTATATACTAGTTACAGGAACATGAGCAAGTTATATAACTCCTTTGAACTACAATTTGTTCATTCATATGAAAAGGAGCTTAAGTGATTCTGGTGAAAGTTAAATGAGAAAAATCCATGGAACCTGCTTACCATATAGTAAGTTTTCAAAGCATGTTATTACTAGTAATATCCCTTGCTGGAAATATACCCATAATCATAACTATCTATTTAAAGTCCTTGAGCAATCTTTGCTCTGCTGATGATCTGCTCACTTCTTTTTTTTTTTTTTGAGTTGGAGTCTCACTCCGTCGCCCAGACTGGAGTGCAGTGGCTGCTCCCAGTCACCGCAGCCTCGACCTGCTGGGCTCCGGCGATCCTTCTGCATCAGTCTTCCAAGTAGCCGGAATTACAGGCATGCGCTATCACGCCCGGCTCATTTTTTGATTTATTGTAGTGATGAGGTCTCGCTGCCCAGGCGGGTCTCGAACCCGTGGGCTCAGGCAATCCACTCACCTCAGCCTCCCAAAGGCACGGGATTACAGGCTGAGCCACCGAGCCCGGCTTCTGCTCACTTCTATTTGTGTGTTTTCCTTACCCTCTTGACTCGGTCTCTCTGTGTTACTGAATTAGAACCTGGAGATCTGACCTAGATCCTTTTTGTTCTTTGGTGTGTTAGCTGCTTTCCTTTCAAACCCCACCCTTCATGTTGTGAGGCTACCATGGCATCCTGAACCTGATTTCACTTTGCGCCCTTCCTTGACAGTTTTGTTTTGAAAGTGTTCTCAAATCGATTTTTCTCAACAATCAGTGCCTGAGTTCCTTGATGTGGCAGCTCTTGGGATTGTCATGTGTATCATATTTGCTGTAGTTTTTGGATCTCTTACTTTTATAGGATCATACTAAAACAGAGTTGGATGCTTGGAAGATTGTCCGAGTTAGTGAAAATTTCCGAGTGATTGCCTTGGGCTTGCCTGTGCCACGGTATTCTGGGAATCCATTAGACCCCCCTCTTCGTTCTCGATTTCAAGCCAGAGATATTTATTATCTGCCCTTCAAGGTGAGTGTGACCAAGAATAGTTTATTTTTTTAAACAGTTTTTCAGGAGTCAGACATGCTATCATTGCACCACAAGGTTACTTAACAGTTTTTCTATTTATAACAAGAGATTCAGTTCTATAAAAATGTTACTATGTTTTTAGATGTCCTCCTCAGTAGTTAATTAAAAGAAAAAAGATATAAGATGAAGAAAATTTCTGGAAACTAGGAAGAAAAATTATGGTGGCATTATTTGCCTGAACAATTTTTTTAAAGACTGACTTAGAAAATGAAATGTATTAAGAAATGATTTTTTGCTGTTAATTATGAGAGTCTGCTTAATTAAAAGATTGGATTATGTCTACTAACGTTTGCATTTAGTCTGTTACATTTCTTATTACTTGGTGTGATATGTTTCCATGTTATTTTAGGACCAACTTAAACTATTATATTCAGCTGGTGCCAATGTTTCTGCTGAAAAGTAAGTATATTTCTGTAGTTATCTGGACACAACATTGAATTTGTTTTGCCTGTTCATTGATTGATTGATTGTTCATTCAACAACTATTCTTTGAATAATTTTCAGTGTTAAGAGGTTTGGTAAGTGCTGGTGATAAAATTAATAAGATATTATTATTATTTGAATCAGGCTCTCACTTTTTTGCCCAGGCTGGAGTGCAGTCAGACCATCACAGCTCACTGCAGCCTCAAACTCCTGGGCTCAGGCTATCCTTCTGCCTTAACCTTCTGAGTAGCCAAGACTATAGGCTCATGCCACCACACCTGGCTAATTTTATTATTATTTGTAGAAATGAGGTATTGCTGTGTTGTCCAGGCTGGTCTTGAACTCCTGGGCTCAAGTGATCCTTCTATCTCTGCCTTCCAAAGTGTGGGAATTACAGGTGTGAGCCATCATGTCTAGCAAATATGATCTTTGATGACAAGAAACTCAAGATCTAATAGAGTTGAAGATATGTAAATAGCTTATTTTAATATATTATAACAAGTGCCATAATTTCAAAATATTGGGGCTATTTGTTGAGGGCTTCACAAACACATTGGTGTTTGAAATGAGTCCTGAAAAATTCAGGCTTTTGACAGATAGGGAATAGAATCAAGAAATTCTAAGACATATTTTTTTAAAGAATGGAATATGAGAAAATGCCTTGTTCTTAAGTCTTTAAAAAGTTCCCGGTGGCTAGAGTTTACGTTTTGGATTGAGAAAAGTGAGAGAGAAGGTTGCCAGGGTAGATTTGGGCCAGATCATGAAAAACCTGTGATGGATTTAGGAAATATATCTGTGTATCTAATCAGAATCTGAGTTTTAAGTGGAATCTGATATGGAGCCATTTTTGTTTAAGAATTAATAGTAGGAGCCGGGCTGGGTGGCTCAGCCTGTAATCCCGTGCCATTGGGAGGTTGAGGTGAGTGGATTGCCTGAGCCCGTGGGTTCAAGACCCGCCTGGTCAACTTGGGGAGACCTCATCTCCCCAATAAATCAAAAATTAGCCGGGCATGGTAGCGTGCGCCTCTAGTTCCAGCTACTTGGAAGGCTGAGGCAGAAGGATCGCCGGAGCCCAGCAGGCGAGGCTGCGGTGGCCGGGAGTGGCCAC